CCCTGCTTTCACTATATTTGATGTCAGTATAACATGTGGAGGAGACGGGGACAAACAAGTCGTTTAAGGATTCAGGTGGACCTGTTGCAACAATGAGAAGCACAAAATGTCATGTCAAAACCAGCTTTACAATGTCGGTGGGGGGGGGCGAGGGGGGGTATGATTGGGTGGGAGGGAGGGGGGAGGCTGGGAAGGGAGGTGAAGGGTAAACAAAGGAGGAGGATGCAATGCTTGGTAAGAAATGTATGCATTATCCTGCCCATGTAATTGTAACCCCTCTGTACAGTATGTTCTCAAATAAAATAAAATAAAATTTAAAAAAAAAAAAAAAAAAAGAATGCTCTGTGATGAAGGACTAATGTAGATCTACAAATATATAAATGAAATAAATGACCCGCACAAATGTTTGCTCCTTGTTTTCAAAACTGTGAGTGATGGCTGAGCTACACCTCAGTAGTAAAAAATTATAAGCTTTAAATCTGAGGTGATTCTTACTATTTCTTTTTTTTTTTTTGGGTCCGGTCGTGGGGCCTGAACTCTGGGCCTGGGCGCTGTCCCTCAGCTCTTCAGCTCAAGGCTAGTGCTCTACCACTGGAGCCACAGTGCCCCTTCCGGCTTTTTTCTTTTTGCTTACTATTTCTTTTAGTAATATTTGGCAGTAAACATCTGGGGAATGGCTCAATGTTAAGCGTGCCTACTTAGGAAGCACAGGTCCTGAATTCAAACTCCAGTCTGGCCAAAACATGCAAAACCCCTCAGTACTTTCAGTTACAGCTTTCAGTGAAATAAGGTTTCAGAGTAAATAACTTCAAATAGAAGCTAACATTTAAAGAGAAAAAAAAATCCTTAAATATAATTTAAATTAACGGACACAAAGAAACCATTGTCTTTAGACCTAATTCTGAACGACACTGAGGGGCTGAGGGTTAAGACAGTGGTTGTTTGGATCCTCCATACTAACAGCACCACCACCAGTAACAACAGCAAAAGATACTTCAGCCACCACATTCTGATGTGATTCTTTTATATTACAATAAATTCATAGAAATGGTAATCAAGTTCTTTACCAAAATATTTTAAAGCCAAAATTTTTCTAAAGATGAAAACTCAGGTTCATAAAAAAAAAAAAAAAGTATCAGACGATCTCTGGCTATATTAGCTTTCTGTCTTTCCTTCTTGTCCAACTCCAAGAACCATCATAATCCCAGCCTTCACCTTCAGCTATTTCCTCTTTCTAAACCAACTTTCCACAAAAGTAAAATCTTAGGTGCTCACTACAACTAATTTTGGTCCCTTATTCTAAGTAAATGTCAATGATTTCAGTGTTTCAGTGGCAGATACATAGATAGATAGATAGATAGATAGATAGATAGATAGATAGATAGACAGACAGACAGACAGACACACATGCAGTCATAAAACTGGCATAAGGGGGAACATCAGCTACACAAAAGTATTAACACATCAACTCTTCTGAGAGGAGACAACTGCAGAAAGCTGGATATGGAGACACAAGACCTGTCTACCTCAAAGAAAGGGCATGCTAACTGCAGGAAGTAGAAACATTTTGTACTTTGTTGACATCTATACAGATCTATACCTTAGAAAGGAAGAGAATTCCAAAGCTAAGCTTGTTCTTAGACAAGCATGCCCTTACTTCACCTTGGGGAAATAGCACCAGCACTCTAGCTAATCAGTTACATGCAAAGCTTCCGAGTGATCCAATATTGCAAAAATAACCAGAGATTAAAACAAAGATCAAGTTCAATGAATTCATCATATATTTCTCCATCTATGCCTTCTAACCCTTTACTACCCTCACCCAAGTCTGAACAGAGGTATGATATAACACAAGCTGTCTGTTGCATATTCTTTACTGCAGGGCTCTGCTTCATCCTTTGCATGTACTAACTTTCCTTTTCTATGGATTAAGAACTCTGAAAGAAAAAGGTGTTAAGACCTAGATTGATTTTCTAAGCCAAAGTAGAAATGAATCTATAGTTTAACAATAACTGTTCACATGCAAAGTACATTATATTATCTCCCTGGCACTCCTGCCATGCAAATGGTTCAAATGCATAGCAAAGAACCCAAATGCAGGGCTGGGAAGGTGGCTGAGTGATAGAGCGCTTGCCTTGCATGCCTGAGGCCCTGGGTTCGATTCCTCAGCACCACATAAGCAAAAAGAAAAAAGCCAGAAGTGGTGCTGTGGCTCAAGTGGTAGAACGCTAGCCTTGAGCTGAAGAGCTGAGGGACAGCACCCAGGCCCAGAGTTCAGGCCCCACAACCATACCCAAAAAAAAAAAAAAGAACCCAAATGCTGACACCAGATCAAACTAACCATGAGTACTAAGAGACTTGTTATACTAAATCTGAAATAGTAATTGTGCATTATAAATTAACTGGGATGGCACTTTCAGCTAATGCTATTAAAAATTCATGAGAGTAATTCCTTTTTTCCCCAAGGTAGATTTCATTTTGGAACCTATCAATACCACCAATCCCATCCCTAAAAATCACACAAAGTATCGCCTCAGAGATACTTTCTCTCCTCACCTCCCTGAGTCCCCAATTGCACTCCTCCCTCAAGTCTCCTAGGACCACCACAACCCTCTTTCCTACATGATTTTATATACTAGTTAATTTCATATAATGGTTAATTAGCAAGTTATAAAGAAAATACAAAAAAGGCACGAGTGGCTCACACCTGTAACCCTAGCTACTCAAAGAGAAGCTGAGATCTGAAGATCATGGTTCAAAGTCAGCTGGAGCAGGGAAAGTCCAAAACACTTATCTCCCAATAACCACCAGAAAACTGGAAGTAGAGCTGTGGCTCCAAGTGGTAGAGTGATAGCTTTGAGCAGAAAAGCTCAGGGACAGTGCCCAGGCCCTGAGTTTAAGCCCCATGACCAACAATAAGAAAGAAAAAAAGAGGGGGACAGGGAGGAGATGAAACAGGCAATAAAAGAAGTGAATTTCATCAAGGCATATTGTATGCATGTACAGGGGAGTGTCCTTGTACAACTATTATATACTAATACTAGTAGCAGCAGCTCTAATCATATAGCTGCTCTAGTAATATAGCTGCTGAAACAGAGAAAGGAAAGAGAACAGACATAAGGATTTTTTTCACATAAAATTCATCTACAGGTATCACAAATAAAATATATTCTGATCACAAGCAAACACTCCCCAGTGGCTCATTCCTGTGACTCCTTGGAAGTAACTCAGTGTAACTCCCTCCTAACTACTTGGGAGGCAAGATTAAGGTTTGAGGCCAGCCAGGAAAAAAGAAAAGAAAAAAGAAAGAAAGCTGACAGTACTCAGTGCTGGTAACTCACACCTAAAATCCTAGCTACTCAGGAAGCAAAGATCTGAAGATCCCCATTCAAAACCAGCCCAAGCAGATAAATGTGAGAGACACATCTCCAATTAACCAGTAAAAACATAAAAGTACTGGAGGCATAGTTCCCATGGTAAGCAAAAAAGCCGAGCGAGAGCATGAGGCTATAAACTTAAACTCCAGGCAAAGTATACTCTTAACTTGCATGTGTATATGGGCACGCATGCACATGCGCACGTGTGTGCGTACACGCACACACATACACACACACACACACAAGTTCAGAAGACTCAGTCTCAGTGGAAAGAATTGATATGGTGGAGCACGTCTGTCATCCCAGTTACAATGAGAAGTTTAAAGCAGGAACCACGACTCTGTCTCAAAAATAATCAGTCAGAAAAAAAAAAAAAAAAAGGTTGGCAGGCACCAGTGGCGCATGCCTGTAATCCTAGCTACTAAGGAAGCTTAGATCTGAGGATCACTGTTCAAAGCCAGCTCGGGCAGGAAACTCTGTGAGATTCTTATCTCCGATAAACCACTAGAAAACCAGAAGTGGCGCTGTGGCTCAAGTGGTAGAGCACTCGCCTTGAGCTGAAGAACTGAGAGACAGCGTCCAGGCCCAGAGTTCAAGTCCCATGACCAACAAAAACAAAACAAAAAAAAACAAAAAACAAAAAAAGGTTGGAGATACGATGTAGATTCAGAATATCCGCTTAGCAAGTGTGAAGTCCGAGTTCAAACCCCAGCACCACCCCTGCCCCAAACAAGTCTCATTGCATTGTTTCTGGCTCATTTTGCTCTTCCAAATTCCATCAAGGAGCTGGCAGTTGGGAGCAAAGACTTAACCCAGTTCTACATTCAACCATGGCTAGAATATGTAATTATTTAGCTCAGCTATACAGTTTTTAAACCAATCCAAAGCAAATGCTCACTTTCCAAAAGATATAAAACAGAAAAAAATGCTTAAAAGTAGAAACTGAACCTAAAGTCCTGGAGCCCCTAGAATCCTCTATTAGCAACTCAGTGTGTTAGTGATTAGCTAGAGGGGCGTGAAAGGCCTCCAAAGATAATAGCCCTGTAACAGATAGGGTAGTAAGAAGGCAAAGAAAGAGAAGTTGAACATTAAAGAAAAAAACATTAATAAGTTGGGTCAAAATGCTGAATCAAAAATCTATAATACGTTTTTTTTTAAAAAATCCTCAAAAAGATCCAAACCTATCTAGACTTGCCTGGTCTTAATAAAGAACAGGTGGGCAATAGGACTACCTCCTTATTAGTAAAACCAGGCCAAAAAAAACCCAGCAGGAAACCTTAAATTGAGCACAGCTCCCAAAATTTATTTCCAAAAGCTAAAGCTCTTTAAAACTGAAATTTTAAAAGCCAAAGCCCTCTATTTTCCACAGTTAAGATATGTAAATAACAACTCAAAACTTTTCTTTCCAGAAAACCTCTTAGCACAATCTCTTATGGTACATAAACCTTCAACAGGAGAACTTGATCCAAATATAAACGGGTCATTTCCTCCCTGTACAATGCAGTAGTATTTTATGAATGCCATTAATTGAAAGCAGGAAAAAAAAAATCTAAGCAATGGATTTACATGGGAAATACCAACGTCATATTATAAGCTTTTAATAGACAAAAGCATTTTACTTACGATGTTCCTTGCTGAGAATTAGGGTGGGTTTTTGAAGGCGTATCATATTGTTCTGTGGGGAAGGAGACAATGTCAGAGCAGCATAATGACACACATTTATGAGATCATTAGCTTAAGTTCCCCTTTTATCGCTTCCTTCCTTTTCCCTAAACACTCAGTATATGTTCTGTCAACCAGTGTTGCACACTGCTGTTGATGTAATCTCACTGTTATAACATTTATGGTGCTTTCAAGTACAAGGTCTGTTTAGATATACCAAAACAAATTAACAACAAACAATCTTTTAAAACACTAAACCCATCTTGAAGGTAATGTTTGCTAGCCTCTTAAGTTGCCGGGAACTGTCTCAGCATGGAGACTTTCTTGTTCTTGATGACAGTTGACGGGCTCATACTGAAGTGCTAGGACACGGCTGCTGCATTAGTCACCCTCTCCTGGCTTGACTCCCACATCCATCAGCAATTGGCCAACGCTCCCTCTTCACAGCCTCCATCTCACCTGTGCTCTCCCTTTCTCAATCCCTCATGACCCAATTCACTCACTCAGCACCTATTTACAGACTGCCTAGTAGAGTCCATGTGCAAGGCATCCAGTCCGGTCCTCAGTACAGTGGTAGTTGACTGAGGGACATGAAACAAACTCATAAATATCTATCATCCTTGGCAGTATGACGTAAGTACACAGATCAATTGCATACCCAGGAAAACCACAGAATGGTCAGTCTGTTGGTTATGAACAAAGGCAGAAATAGAATACAATGGATTCTGTCACAGGGGACAGGTGGGTTTCTGATGGAAAGCCTGCAAGAGGCCCTCAGGCAGAGGGGAAGAGCAAAGATACAAGTGGGAGGAGTTAAAAGCACTCACGTTTGGAAAGGGTAGCTGTGTGGTTGTGTGGTGGGCAGAAGTGGGAAGTGGGAGAGTCAGGCTCAGAGAGCCCTAAACCCAGGATGGGAAGCTTGGGGACACCTTCAATGATTGAAACAGACACAGGCTATAGAGGGCCTATGAAGATGATTACAGTGATGCTACCCTATGTAACACAGAAGAGAGCAAATTTGAAATGTGAACTGTGGAGCAACACACCAGTTGGCAAGCAGTTACATGTGTCTAGACATAAGGTCAAGGAAACTAGAAATAGAACCAAAGTGGAAAGAAATATGGGTCCTTCTTAGGCGGGTTCATTCATCCCACAACTGTCATGTGGAGAGCCCTGCATATTTGCAATTGGTCTCTTTATCCTCAGGGTGGCAGCAGTTCTTATGTGATATTTCCAATTGCCTCCTCCTGTTGAGACAGCTAGAACCAGGGCTATAGTTTAATCAAAGGGTAGAAGTCCTTCTTCTAACCATTACCAGGAACTACACATAATCACTGTGACTGGGTTCCAGGTTCCAAAAATTCTCAATATTCTCAGGTAGCCATGTTTTTGCAGCAAACATAGGCAAGAAAGTGAGTACATGCTCAAATCTCTACCTATCTATCCTTCAGGCTCCAAAACTAGTTCTATGCATGTGAGCATACTCCACTCTGCATTCACCGCTCCATTCAGCCCTCATTCTTTCTTCATCCAACCAACTAGATCTCCCTTTTCAGAACTTAAAAAACCACGTTCTCACAGGCATCAAGCTCCCAAAACACTAAGAAATAAAGGGGCAGCACTGTGAAAGATCTGGTGCAAGCAGCTGGTAATAGGAGTCCTGTCAGGTTCCTATCAGGGTCTTATCATCAAAGTAACAAGGAAGTGGCTTTACATACTGCACAGGCCAACAGGGTGGTCCATTCCCAGCTTAGAATGGGCTTATGAGTTTGTCTTAAACTGACAGTTTGTTAGCATAGAGAGCCGCTTATTCTAAAGCAAGAGCTAGCAATCCCAGGAGTCATCCACTAGAAGATTTGCATGCGTGGCAGCCCCAAAGCAGCCCTACATATCCATACCTGGCACTCCAACTTCACCCCCTACTAGTCATGTGTTTGAATTAGTGGCCAAAATGCCAACAAAAGGAGACTCACCACTGGGTGCCAGTGTCCCACGCCTATAATCCTAGCTACTAAGGAGACTGAGATCTGAGAATTGAAGTTCAAAGCCACCCAGGGCAGAAAAGTCTGTGAGACTATTATCTCCAATGAATTACCAAAAAAGCCAGAAGTGGAACAGTGGTTCAAGTGGTAGAGCTGTAGCTTTGAGCAAAAGCAGCTCAGGACCAGTGCCCAGGCACAGTGTCCAGCAGCAGGGAAGATTGACCCTGAGATTGTATTGATTTACACTATTCTAAAGGAAGATTTTCCTTTCCTCGATTTTCTAATCTTTTCCCCTCCCCTCACATCCTTAAGATTCAAGCTAAAATCATCAAGAGGAAAAACAAATGTGAAGGAAAAGTATCATGGCGGGGAAATAAATCTGAAGGTAGAAGCAGTTCTTCAGAGATCTGCGAGCTCCCCTTCCCCCTTCTCCCAGCATGCATACAGACACACCATGCACCCAGCTGTTGGCCTCTTCATCCTTTGAAGATTAACACTTCATTCCTGTAGCAATTACCACATCCTGCTGCAGGTTATTTCCACCTGTGCAAGTATCTTATCCCACTTAAGATATTCTGCGGATCTAATTAATTGCAGCTATCCAAGTGATATTTGTAAGGCTGACATGCCTTGCATCGGTCAGAAAACGAAGAATTTCTTGATTTGAGGAATTATTGTTGAACAGAAAAGCTGGACCCAATTATTTCCCTCTAAGTTTTCAAGTATTTTCAATTCTTCAAGCAGGGATCAATAATTACATGGCCAAGAGAGATGGAGGAGCTAGAGAAGCTGTGTGCTGTATTCTTTACAAAAATGTTTGGTTTTAAAATTAGAGAAATCACACAAAAAAGTTTCCAATTTTTTTTTTCTTGCCAGTCTTAGGGCTTGAACTCAGGGTCTAGGTACTGTCCCTGAGCTTCTTTTGCTCAAAGCTAACATTCCACCCACTGAGCCACAGCACCCCTTCCGGCTTTTTTGTTTGTTTATGTGATACTGAGGAACCCAGGGCTTCATGTATGCTAGGCAAGCACTCTACCACTAAGCCACGATCCCAGCCCCCAACTTATTCTTTCTTGGATTATTTTATTTTGTTTTGGGGAATAGTGTCATTTCACTATGTACCCCAGATCTTGAACCTGCCTTCTAGGTGCTAGAATTATAGGGGTATGCTACTGCCAAGCTATGCCAGTCTATTCCTATATACAATTCCTGGGTGCAATATTTTGGGAGCCACATTCAAGAAATAATATGTAAATAATATCTAATTTTGCTTCTTTAATGTTTTGCTAGAACATTTTCATTAACTCTTTGCAACAATCCGAAATAACACCTAAAGACCAAGTTTTTGGCTTTCTTTTCTGTTCTTTCAATATAGGACAGCCTCCTCTCTGCTGGAGCAATTACTTCTGAGGTTTTACGTTAAATCACTAAAAATTATGCTTTGTTCTTCAATGGAATAAACTATTCTAGTCGTTTACTTACTCTGATTTTGGATTGCAGAACAGATGTGCTGAGAATCCTAGGGAGAAAAAAATAACAACTCTGGTGATTAAGATATTAAAGTTTTCCTAAGGGCAAAATCACGGTGCTTTTAACATTGAAAAGATAGTCATATATCAGCTTTCAATACATATTTTTTAAAAGACAGATAGTAGAAGCAATATCCATAGACTCTACAATTATTACTTTACTATATGACACATAACTATTCATCTCTCTATTTAATAATCAATCTTCAATGCATAAACACTGATTTTTACATATAGCTTTATTTTTTTCTGTTCTTTCCTAGTTTATTTTTCAGAGTTTAAAGGTTATGTCAGAGTTTAAAGTTTTATTCCAAATAAATTGCCTTTCTATCAAAGTATCATTATAAAATAAGTAAAATCTACCTTGTGGAAAAATGGGTGTATATAGATAGAATGTTGTGAATAATATCATGAAAAAGAACAACTACAGATGTATATAGATACATAGTAGGCTGTACAGAACACACCTAAACTACATCAATATCCTGAAGGTTACTGGAAAATACAAGACAAAAAAAGAAAATCTGGCTGTATTTTAATGCACCGTTCACAAGCACTGTAGCATATGAGTCAGCATTCATTTGTGTCTCATGAAAACCAGCACTTATGTCACTGATTACAACAAGCTTAAGAAAATTCAGGAAGCTAAGATACATGTGTGTATGCACAAGCATGCATGTGTATGTGCGTGTATGTGTATGTATGTGCAAGCTCCACAGGAAGAACCCTCAAATGAGCTGATGTAGCTGGGCTTAGCTCATGCCTGTAATACTACTGCTCAGGAGGCTGAGATCAAAGTCTGTGAGACTCTTTTATCTCCAATAAATGAAGAAAGCAGCAGCAGAAACAGCCAGAAGTAAAGCTGTGCTCAATAGTAGAGCTCAAGTCTTAGGAGCAAAAGAAGCTCAGGGATAGCACCCAGGCCGAGTTCAAGCCCCTAGACTAAGGGGGAAAAATGTTGTACCAGGGAATCCTGACTGCTTTTATAAGCTGCAAATCCCTGTGCAAATCTAAGATGCTGTTACTAGTAAGTTGGAGGATAAGCTTAACAGCATTATGAAATACTCCAGAAGCTAAATTATGATTTTAACCTTATCTCTAAAGATTCCATCAACATTCTACCAACAGCGCTCACAGCATACCTCACCCTTTTCATTAAGGTGAATGCTGTGCCTGTCATACTTACCTTTGTGGGGAAAGGAAATTTGGATGGCTCTGCTGTACTAGGTGTATGTATTGCTGTCAAAGGAGGAGGCCACGAATGGGTCATTTCCTAGAAAGAGATTTGAAAAGGGAGGAAGAAATAAATTACAACTAGCACTTTTTTTAATCTTAGTTAACTTTTTGATCTTAGTGTAAAGTGGATTGATGATTGAAAGTTATTTACTTAAAAAGTTACTTAAAAAAATCCTACTGGAGGAGAGATACTTGAACTTATAGGCACAGGCAGGAACTTCCTGAACAGTCTCAGGCTCACAACAAATTGGAGAGAGACTTGACAAATGGGACTACCTTAAAATAAAAAGTTTCTGCACAGCTAAAGCTATAGCAACCAAGCTAGAAAGACAACCGAGAAAAATATTTACCAGCAATAAATCAGACAAGGGGTTAATATCCAGTAAATACAGGGAACTCAAGAAACTAATCCCTCCTAAACCTAACAAACCAATTACTAAATAGGCAAGGGAACTAAAGAGGACTTCTCAGAAGAAGAGATAAAAATGGCAAAGAAACACATGAGGAAATGTTCACCATCCCTGGTTGTGAAGGAAATGAAAGTAAAGACAACACCTTACCCCAGTCAGAATGTCCCACATCCACAAGTCAGCCAATGATAAATGCTGGAGGGGATGCTGAGAAAGAGGAACCCTATTACACTGCTGGTGGGAATGTACACTTATACAACCACTTTGGAAAGCAGTCTGGAGGGTCCTCAGAAAGCTAAATATTGACCTCCCCTATGACTCAGTCATACCACTTCTAGACGTCTATCCTGAACAACAGGAACCAGTATACAAGGACATGTGCACCTCCATGTTTATTGCAGCACTGTTCACAATAGCCAGGATATGGAAACAACCCAGATGTCCCACCACAGATGAATGGGTCCAAAAATTGTGGTATCTATACACAATGGAATATTATGCTGCCATTAGAAAGGTCAAAATAATGGCATTTGCAGGGAAATGGATGGAGCTAGAAGCAATCATATTGAGCGAGGTAAGCCCAGAGCAAAGAGATAAACGGCAACTGGTCTCCCTGATAAGTGGATGCTAAATCCAAAATGTAAGGTGATACAACAAAATTAACAAGACATAAGAAACAAAGGACTTCCACTCATCTGGTCGAATCACTAATCAATAACCCCATGCAGCTGATCACATGTATGGTATATATGTGTACACCGGAGGGAAACCAGGAGGATGACACAGAACTTGAAGGAATCAGGGAAAAAAATACAACAGCAGGAACCATCAGCTGCACTGGACACTGATCAAAATGAACTACGCAACTCAATGGCAGTGATGGGAGGGAAGGAACAAGTGGGAAAGAGGGAACAGCTGATGCTATGTAAAACAAAAGAAATGTACATATCACCCAATGTGGAAGAAATAACTGTATTGCTAAGCTCATAGAACTCATAAATGTTATAGACCATGATAGACAATTTGCCCCAGAAAGAAGAATGTGTTTGTGACTTTAACTAAGCATCACTATCCCACAATACTGTGAAATTTGGGAAATTATGTAACCACTTAATCACTATTAAAAAAAAATCTGAAAAAAAAATCCTACTGGAATGGGTTATGTTTAAAAATTGAGTCTCTCAAATGTAACAAAACTTGGTAGAATGCTTGCCTTGCATGCAGAAGCCCTGGGTTCAATTCCTCAGTACCACATAAGCAGAAAAAGCTGGAAGTAGGGGCTGGGAAGGTGGTTCAGTGGTAGAGCACTTGCCTTGCATGAGGCCCTGGGTTTGATTGCTCAGCACCACATAAGCAAAAAGAAAAAAGCCGGAAGTGGTGCTGTGGCTCAAGTGGCAGAGCGCTAGCCTTGAGCTGAAGAGCTGAGGGACAGGGCCCACGCCCAGAGTTCAGGCCCCACAACTGTTGTGACCAAAAAACAAAACAAAACAATACAAAAAATGAGTTTGAAGAATAAGAAGATGAAAGGGGAATGGACTCGGCCCTGCACATGTCAAAATGCTTGTAGACAGTAATGGGTGCTGGAGGCCTGCAGTACAGGAAGAGCCTCCGTCCATGCTTTCTTCCTCCCTCGGCTTCTTTACTGCACTTCCTGGAATTATTGAAGTTCAAAGAAGAACTTTCCTGTTTTACTTAAGCAAACAAGTAATTCAGGCCACTTGTTCCACTTGGGAGGGTTTTAATGGCTTTGACCCTTCCCTGATACATACTATTAGCACATAAGAACTTTTGAGGGAGGAGGCCTTAACAATTACCTTCTTTTTCCATGAAGTTTGATTTTTTTTACTCACTGTTTCCTTGGTTGAAGGGCAAGATTCTAAAAATTACAAATTAAGGGTATGTCTAATTGCAAATACATGTAAGCATACACACACACACACACACACACACATCTGAAAAGGGCTATCACAGCACGAAGATTCACTTTTTCAGATGGAGAAACTCCCAACATTTTTGCAGATGAGAAAATAGAGGCTCAAAACAAGGAAGCAGGAGGCTGAGCAGACGGCAGGTTATAGACACCTCTGTCTTTTCAGCGTTGCAAAAGAATTGCCTTGCCACATGCATCACACCTGGCTGGCAAACGGTCGACTAGCAAGCTAGGGTGCTCAGACTGAGTATAATATGCTATTCCACTTGTGTATCACAACCTCGATCCTACCCTTCATTCTTTCCAAAGTGCTGGTTACTTTCTCTGCTTCTACAGAAATGCCCAGTGATCTTTGCATCCCCTGGAGATAGTATGTGAGCAAAGGCTTCCACCTCCAGCCTTCATACTTCCTCTCCTGCCTTTCCCCCTGCCACGTGGTGGGTGCCTACAACCCCAGGATAAAACCAAAGGGACTGCATACAGCGATGAGCCTATGTAACTGGTGCTGGCTTTGAGGCAGTTTACTGAATGACTTTCTGCAATCTGCAGCAGCAGTTCTATACTAAACCATACCACAGTCAGAGGTCCTAATTGCAATCCTAACGGAATCAGCTGAGACAGCCTAAATTTTGGGTCTCAGTTCTCAAAGTACAGAAATGGCAGCTCAGGTAAAGTACTTAGATACCTGGCACTAAATATATGGGAAAGTTACAATGTTTTAAGGGGATATTTGGGTCTTTAAGATAGGGTCTTGCATGGAGCTGGGAAGGTGGCTCAGTGGTAGAGTGCTTGCCTTGCATGCATGAAGCCCTGGGTTCGATTCCTCAGCATCACATAGCAGAAAAAGCTGGAAGTAGCACTGTGGCTCAAATGGTAGAGCGCTAGCCTTGAGCTGAAGAGCTCAGGGACAGTGCCCAGGCCCAGAGTTCAGGCCCAAACCGACAAAACAAACAAACAAACAAACAAACAAAAAAAGATAGGGTCTTGCAGTATAGCCTAGCCTGTTCTTAAACTCATGATCCTTCTGTCTCAGCTTCTCAAATAGTGGCATTCTAGGCATGTGCTGGAAACATTACAACTTTTGATTCAAAGTGTAGTTTCAAAAGAATTTCTATACTATGCCAAAGAAAGCTCCCTGGTGTTCTATTTATTTGACAATACTTTAAGGTATAGGACCAGTAAACTGTTAATTTTTTTTAAAGAGCTGACATATATAATTGGGTTTGAAAACAGCATCCTTACGTTTTCCCCAAGAATCCTAATGGGATATGTGGCTTTTAGAAACCAATTAGTTCCAAATACCATCCATCCTTACTCTCAATGCCTAAGGCTGTCCCAACAATTAAATTGGGCACTTGAAAAGTGCCTAAATTCTTTCAACCCTAAGTGGTTCCCTGGTCGTCTGAAAGAATTTATGTACTCCACTAAATGCTTTCCTTCCTAGAAGGATTTGGGTATTCAGAGAATTAGGGCTATTACTACAGAAAGGAGGTTACTCAGGTAGTAAATGACTGATCACATGTGCAAAGCCAAATCATATGTCACCGGCACCAGTCCCCAACCCCTTCTAGGTCCCATAGCTGCTGCGCACCCCTGCTCATTTCCCTGTAGATGTGGTCTAGTTCTAGCTGTTCCTCTGAACATGCTCTTCGCCCACCACCATCCATTCCCTGTCCCGTCCTCTGTTCACTGGACTGTCAGATTGTTCACAGCCCATATTATCATCACAATATTGTAATTTTGCCTTTCCTGTCACAATCTCCATGAGTTCTTGCTGCCTCAATTCTTCACAGACAGCCCAGACCTAGAAAAGGTATCTGAAGGTTTAATGGATATTTGCAGACTGAACAAATAATAATGCTACCCCGGTCACTATAAAGGCATTGTTGGAATGTTGCACTGAAGTAGTGTCTACTTACACTGCCTTCATTGCCGGACAGCCTGCTGAGAAGACTCCAGCTGTTTCCATATGCTTTGCTGAAGGTAAGTTGTCCACAGCCCCTCCCCTCCGCCCTCCCCCCCAGTTCACAACTATTTCCTGGTTGCTAGTAAAGTCTGTCTGCCATCTGCTTACCTGGTCAGCCTGCAGGAGTAACAAGCCAGCACTTCTCCATTAGAACATTTCCACCCTAAATACTATCCACAGAGAAACAAACAACATGGACTATGACTGGTTTTTCACTGCTACTGCTATCACCCATCTGTGTTTGGACTCCTAGTGACCTTTGTGAATTGGTGGTACAAGATAAGATCAAGAACGTTTAGACAGACGACACTGTCTGGAACATAGGACTTGTTAAAAACAGAAGGGGAAAGATCTCACTTTTTCATCTACAAGAAGGCCCAGGCCTTTTCAGTCCTGGGCATGCTGTTTGCTGGGCAGTTCCTGATTACCACATGACAATATGCCCTCTTTGCTTTCATTAACTACTCTCATGCATCCCAATGGGCAAGAACTCATTAAAGTGATGCCTGATGAGAGGTAACGGGTTGGGGAACTAAGCATAAAACGCTTATCTGATGCTATAATGCATGCCTTCTACAGAGGGCATGTCTTATATTAGCATACATCAAAACCTAAGTGATATATTTAAACACGCAGATGACAACAAATCCATATTGTTGAAGTTGCTTTTGAAATAGAAACAAACGTTACACAAATTCAGAGAATAATGCTAAGACCATAATTTAAAATTTAGTCATTGATTATTTTTATGACTGTCTAAACTAAAGAATTTCAGAAGTAGAATGAAAAAGATATAAAAATTAGGGGGTTGGGAAGGTGGCTAAGTGGTAGAGTGCTTGCCTTGCATGCACGAGGCCCTGGGTTCGATTCCTCAGCACCACATAAACAGAAAAAGCTGGAGGTGATGCTATGGCTCAAGTAGTAGAGCACTAGTCTTGAGCTGAAGAGCTGAGGGACAGCGCCCAGGCTCAAAGTTCAGGCCACACGACCAATAAAAAAAAAATTAAAATTAAAAAGTTAATTAAAAACTGTAACAGAGATGTTTATCTTGAATTTGAAGTCTTAATGATCTCTACATGTAACTTATTTAGATAGTCACAAAAGAAAGAACAGGCTGTAAAACAAAGATGATGGAGGCTGAAGGTATTGCTACAGTAGTAAAAAGCCTAGGAGGATAGGAGGGAACGGGGAGAGGGTTTAGCTGTAGGGAGGCAGAGAGACACCGAAGAAAAAAGGTGGATGCATTTTCCGAAAATCTGGTGAAATACTAGCAATACTAAAAATCTGGCAAGTGAAATGTACTGTATCTAGTTCTTTCTTCTTATTTCATTTTTCTTTTTCCATTGGTTTATCCCTGGCAATCTCTGTGTTTGATTCTGGTACCCTCCATCTTGTATATGCAATTATCTGATTGGGGGAAGGGAAAGGAAATAACAAAATGCTGAAAGAAGTACAAAAGAAGACCCATGGCAACAATGATACTTACAGGACACTATGTTGGAAATGAACTTTAGGGAAGGGATAGTGGGAGAACAATGGAGTGGGGGTAACAATGTTCAATGAGAAATGTACCTTACTCATGTAAATGTAACCCCTCTGTACAGCATCTTTTTTTTTTTTGTTGGTCATGGGGCCTGAACTCTGGGCCTGGGCGCTGTCCCTCAGCTCTTCAGCTCAAGGCTAATGCTCTACCACTTGAGCCATAGCACCACTTCCGGCTTTTTTCTGCTTATGTGGTGCTGAGGAATCGAACCCAGGGCCTCATGCCTGCAAGGCAAGCACTCTACCACTGAGCCACCTTCCAGCCCTGTACAGCATCTTTACAATAAAATTTTTTTAAAAGAATTCCCAAAGCAACTTGAAAAAAATATTTGACAAGTACAAAGCTAAGCAGTATAGTAACCAATACACTGATGGTTACAGGCACCGTCATCACATAATACTGTATAATGAAAGAACTAATGGGGAAAAAATTGGGTAAATGTTTATTTTGAAGGGAAAAAATTATCAGTAGAGGCACATGTCATTTCTCTATCTTCTACTACTTAAAAAATATATATCAAACTTCACTGTAAGCTAGTAGCTCACGCCTGTAATTCTAGCTACTCAGGATACTGAGATCTGAGGATGGTATTCAAAGCCAGCCCGGGCTTTGAACCACCAGAAAATGAACCACCAGAAAACCAGAAGTGGTGCTGTGGCTCAAGTGACAGAGCACTTGCCTTGAGCTGAAGAGCTGAGGGGCAGCACCCAGGCCCAGAGTTCAAGCCCCACAACCAACCAAAAAAAAAAAAAAAAAAAAAGACATAGAAGCAAATTATAAACCATAGACAAAGGATGAGAATTACACAAAGCCCTCAAATTATTTCAATTACAGTATCTCAGCAATAAAATTAAGCTCCAGATTTCCTACAAATTAAAGCCAAGATAGACAACAGTTACACAAAAAGAAAACACATCATCTCAAGGGGAGAATTTCTTTATCTCGGAACTGAAATCTCGAAAATTCTACAAGTTATCTTGGTTAGGAAAAAAATTCCTGAATAAGCCAATAACATATTCAATGATATATTTATAGAAGTATAAAAACCTCATGATCAGGAAGGAAGAGAGTCAGAAGGGGAAAATATAGGAGAAAATGAGGGAGAGGGTAACACTGTTTAAAAAGAAATGTATTTATTACCTTAGATAACTTTGACCCCTTTGTATATCACTTTTACAATAAAACTTAAATTAAAACAAACCTCATGAACAGACTCAGTAATAACAAAAACTAGCCCTTTAATAGTGCAGCACCTACCATACATGTTATATATGTGTGTTCTTTTGGTGTGCTCATGAGCCCTTTCGTCCAAATGTAAACTTTGTCTTGTCTAGTTAAGGAGAAACTTTTTAAACAACCAAAAAAAAAAAAAAAAAAAGGCCTTTGCCAGATGTCAGTGGCTCACGCCTATAAGCCCAGCTACTCAAGAAGCTGAGATCTGAGGATCAAGGTTCAAAGCCAGGCTGGGCAGGAAAGACTCCGAGACTCTTATCTCTAATTAATCAACAGAAAACTGGAAGTAGAGCTCTGGCTCAAAGTGGTAAAGTGCTAGCCTTGGCCACAAAAGCTTAGAAACACCACCCAAACCCGGAGTCCAAGCCCCAAGAATGAACAACAACAAAACACACACACACACACACACACACACACACACACACACACACACACACACACACACACACACACACACACACACACACACACACACACACACACACACACACACACACACACACACACACACACACACACCACAAAAACAAAAAATCCAAAAAAACAAAACAAAAAAAGAGCCCTTTAATAAAGATAAGTTCAAAATACCTATTTCCTTCCCACTTTTTCTCCCCCAAGTAACCAATGAACATTGTATTTTTAATTTTTATTTATTTGTTGGTCCAGGGGCTAGAAATCAGGACCTGGGCACTGTCCTTGAGCTTTCTGCTCAAGGCTAACTCTCTATCACTTTGACTCATAGCTCCACTTCTGGTCTTCTGGTGATTAATTGGAGATAAGAGTCTCACTGATTTTCCTTCCTGGCTGATTTGAACCTCTATCATCAGATCTCAGCCTGCTGATGACCATGCAAGTGGCAGAATATTGTTTATTAAGTAATATTCCAATTACCATCATGGGGCAGGAGCTATTAACTAACAGGGTTAAGCTGAAGTTCTCTGCCCCAACCTCAGATTTATATGTTCAAATTAGTCCAGTAAAACTTAAGGGTATTACAAGAAAATAGAGAATAGGGCATATCCCAAGGGGTAGATGACCAAAAAAAAAAAAAATCAGGAAGCACTTAAGCAGCTTCAGTAATGGCTCTAACAATTTCCTCACTAAGATTAGTACATACTGGGACTTCTGTCTTTTGACAGGAATTAATGCAAATAATCACACACTCAATCCCATAACCACGCAACCAGGGTTTCCACTGTTATCATTCATACTTCAAACATACTATCAAATCTCCCACAACTAGTCAGTCCCCACAGTGCTCTAGGGTTCCCACAAAGGACAACCAGAAAAACTTGAGGCATATCATGAAACTCTGGTCCAAATGCCTTACAGAGTTCGTTAACTTCATTTTAATTAAGAAAATTTGGCCAGGTGCTAGTTTCTCTGGCCTATAATTCTAGCTACTTGAAAGGATGAGATCTGGGGATCAAGGTTTGATGTGAGCTGAGGCAGGAAAGCCCATGAGCTTATCCCCAATTAATTACCAAAAGGCAAGAACTAGAACTATGCCTCAAGTGGTAGGGTAGAGAGGAGAGAGAGGAGAGGGAGGGAGGGAGGGAGGGAGGGAGGGAGGGAGGGAGGGAGGGAGGGAAGGAAGGAAGGAAGGAAGGAAGGAAGGAAGGAAGGAAGGAAGGAAGGAAGGAAGGAAGGAAGGAAGGAAGGAAGGAAGGAAGGAAGGAAGGAAATCTGATAAAGAATTCAGGAAGAAAATCTGATGAAGAATTCAGTACTTAGCTGACCACTGGTGGCTCATACCTGTAATCCTATCTACTCAGGAGGCTGAGATCTGAGATCACAGTTTGAAGTCAGCCTGGGCAGGAAAGTCTGTGAGACTCTTATCTCCAATAAACTACTTCAAAAAAGCTGCAAGTAGTGCTGTGGCTCAAGCAGTAATGCGTTAGCTTTCTGCAAAGGAAGCTTAGGTATAGCACCCAGGTCTAGAGTTCTAGCCCCAGAGTGAGAAAAGAGAGGGACAGGGTGAGAGGAGAGAGAGAGGTGGAGAGAGGAGAGGGGGGGAGGGGAGGGGAGAGGTGGAGAGAGGAGAGAGAGAGGTGGAGAGAGGGGAGAGAGAGGTGGAGAGAGGGGAGAGGGGGGAGGGGAGGGGAGAGGTGGGGAGGGGAGGGGAGGGGAGGAGAGGAGAGGAATTCAGTAATGTTCTAATTTCCCTTTGTTACTGAAGGGAGCTAAGAACAGCAATTGTCCACTGAAGGGAATGTACACAGACATAAGTTTACTCATTTCAAATGGTAAATAGCAATAATGAACTCACCTTCAGAATTTCTTCAACACAATGAACTTCACTGGAGTATGTCTGCTGAAAGAGAAAAGGAGGAATGGTTAGTTTAAAAACAAACAAACAAAAACCAGAAAAAACAAGAGTTAGGAGTGGTAGTAACGGTGCAGGTATTACCACATGGCTGGCTCAGCTTACCTCAAGGCCTGCCTTTTAGGATCTGAGCACTAGTAAATGTATTCTGGGATGAATAAAACCAAAACAAAGTTACCAGATTTAATCTTGGGGAAAACATGAGGGAAACAGTGAACTAGAGAGCACAGCAGACTAAGTATGACTTTGAGGTCAAAGTTATCAATGGAAAATGTGTATATTAAAGAGATAGTAGGGGGTTGGCAGCATGGCTCAGTTGGTAGAGAGCTAGCCTATGAGCCAAAGTATCAAGTATTGAGTTTGAGTTCTAGCCTTGGACCTTAAAAAGAAAGAACAAAAGAAAAGAAACACTGAGAGCTAGAAACATAGCTGAGTGATAGACCACTTGTCTAACTGCACAAGGTCCTGGGGAGAGGAAAAGTGGAAAGGAGAGAAAGGAAGAAAGGAAGGGGTAAAATGAGAGAGAAGGAAATATATATGAAGTGTCACAGCTGGCCCCCAGTTGCTCACAACTGTAATCCTAGCTACTCAGGAGGCTGAGATCTGAGGGCAGTGGTTGGAAGACAGCCCAGGCAGACTCTTACCTCCAACTTATCACGGAAAAGCTGGTAGTGGAGCTGTGACTTAAGTAGCAGACGGTTAGCCTTCAGCAAAAGTTGTTCAGGGATAGTGCCCAGGCCCTGAGTTCAAGTACTAGAACCAGCACAAAATAGGAAGTGTATAGTCGGCAACCTCACAACATCTGACTGTTAAGCCCCATTAAATGACCACACATGGCGAACATCTGAACACATTAGTGGATCCACCAGGAAGAAGACCAAAGTCCAGTCAGGGAGGTTTCTCACTGTTCTTACTTTTTTCTTCTTCTTCTTTTTAAAAAATCTAACCTGCCAAAATCCATTTTAAAGTTTCAGGCACCTCTCATCCCACTTTTGTCAGCATGGTGACAATTATGTGATACAAAGTTCCATGGGACTAGAAGTTAAGGGGTGAAGTTATTAGTTCCCTGAAGGGAAGACGCGCTAGTTATTTATGCCTCCTCTGGCTAACCAGAGGGCGGCGGCCATTGCTGCTGGCATTCCCACCACAGGCAGTGTTGGGAGTGTCAGTGCAGAATCTACACTTTTTTGGGGGGTGCAATACAGAAAAGTTAAATCTGAAGCAATAATTTTCCTAGAGATGTGAAACATATTTCAGGACTCATAATTTTAAATGGAATAGCAGTTTTTGCTGGGGATCCATTCCTGAGGCATGTACCCTGGGCACAGTCTAGCAAGTGCTACACAATGCACACTGCCCTTCCTGTCCAGGCCACTGCCAATGCCACCACCACTGCAAGGCAGAAAGCACAGCTTTTCCTCTCCCACTAGTCCAATGCCTACTGCATAGCTAGCTAGTAGCTGGAAAGGACTCTTTCCCCTCTTCTTGGCCCCAATTTACATGTAATTTAATACAAAATTGATTGGTAATCTAGAATCCACCAGTTCCCCTCATTCTAATTTAAGGAAAAATGAAAAGAGGTATACACATTCACACTGCCCTGTGATGAAATTTAATGGACATGTCAAAATTAAAGTACCATTTGAACTACCTCGGTGTATGTTCAAATCGGTATTCAGGTCCTTTGATATTTGTGAGGTACGGCCAGATAGTTTGGAAGTACTAGCCAAACAGAACCAAGGGCAAACACAACATTTGCTGTGCCCACTGGAGTCATCCTTAGACATTATGAATGTAAGTCTTTTGCTTTCTAAAAACAACTACTTTAGTTTTTATACCAAAGGTTGAATAACAACTGTATTTAACATTAATGTTCTGTTTTGGCAGCAATGTCAGATACAGAAAGGAGTAATTTCACTTATGGGTAAAATATACACAATATAGTTTCAATATTTGTATATGCATTAGTAGAAAGAAATAACAATTAGAAGTTGAAGGTGAGGTCAGGTATGGTGGTATAGTCCTGTAATCCTAGCACTTAGGCTACCCTGACTAACTAAAGAGCAAGATCCTTTCTCAAAACAAACAAAAAAGTTAAAGCCAGGTACTATTGGCTCATTCATGTAATCCTAGCTACTCAGGAGTCTGAGACCTGAGGATTGTGGTTCAAAGCCAGCCCAGGTAGGAAAGTCCACAAGATTCTTATCTCCAATTAATTATTGAAAAAGCCAGAAATGAGTGGTGCTGTGGCTAAAAAACAAAAAACAAAAACAAAAACAGAAAACCGGTATAACCCCTGCTTTCACTATATATGATGTTGGTATATGTGGAGGGGAAGGAAAAACAAATTGTTAAAACAGGGATACAGGAGGACCCATTGCAACAATGAGATGTACAAGTCGTTATGTCGAAAACGAACTTTACAACTTTGGTGGGGAGGATGGGGGATGGGAGGACAGGGGAGAGGGGGGAAGGAGACAAAGGGATGGGAAGGGGAAACAAAGGAGGAGGCTACAATGCTTGATAAGAAATGTGCTCATTATCTTACCCATGTAATTGAAACCCCTCTGTACAGTATTTTCACAATAAAAATATATTTTAAAAAAACCAACCAACCAACCAAACAAACAAACAAAAAAAACCACTTCAAGGACAGAATGCAGTACTAGAGTTCAAGCCCCGGAACTGGCACTTTAAAAAAAAAAATCCCCAATCAACACTGTCATGGCAAATCACTGGAAAAGATCAAACTCCCAACAGGGGGATCAAGTTAGCATGTTATGCAGACTTCCAGAAAAACTGCTAAAACTTGGGCTGGGAATGAGGCTTAGCGGTAGAGTGCTTGCGTAGCATGTATGAAGCCCTGGGTGCTGTGGCTGAAGTGGTAGAGCGCTCGCCTTGAACAAAAGAAGCTCGGGGTCAGCGCCCAGGCCCTGAGTTCAAGCCCCAAGACTGGCGTGTGCACACACACACACACACACACACACACACACACACACACACACACACACACACACACACACACACACACACACACACACACACACACACACACACACACACACACACACACACACACACACACACACACACACACACACACACACACACACACACACACACACACCCTCTGCTAAAACCCCAAAAGGAATTCTCACAGACCCTTCAGCTAGCTTTCCTACCACAAGTACCCTGAACTGCTGATGTAAGTTACAGAGGTAAAGTTGACACTATCTCTCCTGGAGCCCTTCCATGTGCTCCCACTAGCCTTTGAACCTGTATATAAAAGGTTATAAGAGACTGTACAGTATGAGCTCATTTTAGGTTCCATGTATCCAAGATTCACATCTCCACTTAAAAAAAAAAAAGATCTTTCATAAGGAGTGTTAGAGAATCGGCCATGAACAAGCCAGCCCCGTGGGGGTGTGCCCTGAGTTCAAGCTAAATAAATAAATAAGTAAAATAGGTCTTTCAGGTGTGTTTGCAGAAAAAGATCTGTAAGGACAAGTGGCCTTGTTAATAAAGTACAATGTGGCACCTCCAAGTCTGCCTGCGGAGGGAAGCTTTCCCAAAGGGGAGGGGCAGTTGGAAAACCAGTCCTTCTAATCCTTTACTTAAAACTATCACTAAGCAGACCCAGGCTCTCCCTTTAACTCTGTGACCAAACAAATGAACAAGTGGTCCTAGCTAGTACTCCGCAACACAGCTGAGACTCAACTTCAATTCTTTTAAAAATACTTCAGATGAAAAATGGGGGAGGGGAGGAGAATGGAAAGAGGGAGAATATAACACAAGGGTAATTTGTTCAACATACATTGTACTTTGGAATCATCATAATAAAAACTAATGTGTTTTTTAAAAAAGAGAGAGAGAGATGTTAAAAGGCAACAGTCAAGCCTGGCACTGGTGGCTCATGCCTGTAATCCTAGCAACTCAGGAGTGGAGATCTGAGGATAGTGGTTTGAAGGCAGCCTGAGCAGAAAAGTCAGTGAGACACTTATCTCCAATTAACCACCAGAAAAACTGTAAGTGGAGCTGTACCTCAAAGGAGTAAAGTGCTAGCCTTGAGCACAAAAGCTCAGGGACAGTATCTAGGTCCTGAGTTGGAGCCCCACGACTGGAAATAAAATAAAAAAGGCAACAGTCAACATTTATATTACTACATGATAATGGAGGACATAATTTCCTGGTCCTTTGATGTCTAGTTCTTCAGACAGACCTTACTTGCCTCCTATCCTTAGTATCAAGACTCCCCTCCGATCTGTCTATGATTGTCTCAAACAATTTCCTATGTAGAGACCAATGTCCTCGTGGAGACTTCTTCCCATAATTCTACTCAATAAAGGAAAATGACAGCAGCTACTTATTGAATGTGTACTGCCCTTGACATTACATTGAACTTGTTAGTACTGTTATTTCCTCAGTTGGATACCACTGATCATAAAAATTGATCCCTAGGTTGGCAGGAGAAATGCTGCTACACTAAATGAATCCACTAACTCTAAAATACATCTCTATTAAAGAAACATTAAAGTGAAATAAAAATGCCTTAGGGCATATTGTATCATGCCCTATTTTATTCTCCAGTCTACCTTTCTGGTAGGCACTATCCCAGTTTTTCAAACAGGGAGACTGGAATTGCACATCTGAATCACCCAAAAGCTGGGAAGTAGCCAGGCCTGGTTTCCTAATCCCGTCAAACTGGCTTTCCAAAAACCTCAACATTCTTGCAAGAGACAACAGTTCAAGATTTTAGGAGGGTTGTGATTCCCTTCTAAGGAGCAATGGTTTTCACTTGCTTCTACAAAGAGGCATTGAGTGTCCACATACGTCTCTTAGTGATCCAAGTATTTCACACCAGAAGCAGCAGCAAGGCTGGCTTTAGTCTGATCTCTCACTCCTCTTGGAGCAACACAGGGTAATAAGAAAACTCACTGATATAAAAATAAAATGTTCATGTCTTCTAAGGAGGACACAGTCTGTTTACT